TTCCCTAGCCAGAAATACCTATCCATTGTAATACCTTAAATTTGATTCTTTCAAACACTCTACATTTAATTCTTATGTCTGGAATTAAAGGAGGATACCCACGTTGAAAAAAAAACCACCTCAAAACGAAAACAACAACAACAAAAACAAAAGCAGTCTGTCATCTCAATGTCGGGCATGCATTCGCACGGAATTTTTAGGCTGCCTTCCAGGTTGACTGCCTTTTTTGTCCAGAGATATTGAGTGGGGTTTAAAAGGGAGCTTCAGATGTGAATGTGCCCCCCCAACTCTCTTTGCCACTGTGCTGTGGTCCCCAAAACGTACAGAAATGGCCGGTACAGCGACCTCATCCCAGGCTGGCCCATTTCATTTTCTAATTCTTCTGCCCACATAGGAAAGTCAACAACCTTCTCCCATGCAGCAAAATTCTTTGACTCGATTTTGTATTTCTTTAGCACAAGCTCTCAAGACCTCTGAACTTGATGAGTTGCATTCTTTTCCTATCCTTCCTATCACTCAGAGCCACAAGTCTTTTAGATATCTAAGTGACAGTTTGAATTCTGGGTATCGCTCGGGGCTTAGTCCAACTGTGTGGTTGCCACATCTGAGGTGCTGACTTTATAAGCAGAATAGCTCAGGGTGAACATTTTAGTCCAGAGCTATATCAATCAGTTTGTGAGATGACCAACCAAATGGCTCTTAACAGCAAAGGATGGAAGAAAACCGTTTGGGGACATGAAGGCAAAGCTACAAGCAAATGCAAGCATGGACATTTTTAAGCCATCTTTATTTTGTGATTTATGTAATTTAATCACAATATCTAACTTCTACTAGGTCCTGTAAATATTTTTGCATATCCATGCATTATATTCTTTTTTTGCCTCACTTTTAGGAGGCAAGATCAGATTTTAAGTGTTTACAACTAAATTATCTGTGAAAATATCTCATCTGTTTAGAGGGAATATAGAATGCCAATGCTGGTTGAACAGAAGCTAAGTAAGTAAAAAATGATTAGTTTTTCCAACAAAAGATAATAATATGGTGCATAGTAACTAGGCATTCCATAGAATGTTAAGTAAATGCACATGTGTGCCCTTCTTTTATCTGTTGCTGTTTTTATAGGGAATAGCATTAAAATCATTTCAAATAAATGCCACAGATACTCAGAGACATTTGGCAGATGTCCATCAAGCATCCAGACATTTATATATTAATTTAAATGCTTAGCAAATTACATCTTTAGTCCATAAACTTATGTAAGTGGTTAGAGTTCTTTTACATGGTTACACTGGCAACAGTCATTGCAATTTAGAGCTTCTGGGGAGAAAAGAATAGATCGTATTGGGCCACTCCCTACAGCCCCCAATTTTTTTGTTGACCTTTCCTATTGTTATTAAAGTTATCATTGCTTGCTATTTTCAAACCTCAAAGACCTCTCATCATATTAATAAATTTAAGTATCACTGGAGATTAAAGGGATGAACAACCTATCCATCTTTTCCGGGGAGAGGTAACCAAGGCGTTAAGAAAGATACGGCAAACGCAGATCTCAACTTGACCAATAGATGTGATTGATGTTTTCCTACTCAGAGTCCCCTCCCTACTCAAGCTGGACCTTCCCCTCTCTATAGGCATGAGTCCTGCTTGGGAACCAAAAGGCAGGAAAGAGTACAGAATTCTCTGACTTACCCTGCAAATGGGCATCAAAGGGACGGCCGATCATGTCTTCCACAGGGAGGCCCAATGACCCGTTCTCCCTGTGTGGGGACTTGGTCACTGTCCATTAGGCTCTTCAGTCTCTGCCTTCAGGGACCCAGAGACAGGCAGAAATCCCTCCCATCGGTTCCCTAAAAGTAAACACCACAGAGAGAAAAGGTTATTCCTCCTCCCCCACAACTATCTTCTCCAAAATTTTAATTGTGACATGTGTACATAGAAACAGCTAAAAAACGTAGGCATCAGTAGTCCTAATTACAGTGTCTTCCTCTCAGAGTCCCTCATCATATCTAACCAAGTATGCTCATGTGAGGTATTTCTCAGCATGAACTTTCTGGTTTATCTTCTTGACATACATTAGTTTTTAAATATATGAATGAGTATAAAGATAGGATTCTAGATGGCAAATTACTTCTTAAGTTCTTAACTGCCTTAAATATTTGTAATAATTTTTAAAAGAATCTAGTTTTACTCTCCATGGTACGAAAATGGCTAGAACTGTGCAAGTTCTAGGCCAATATGTCACGGATCTTCCTGGCTCTGATGCTGGGGCTACTCAGGTATATTAAATCATGAGAAGGTGACAGATCAAAGGTACCCTAGAGGTGACCTCAGCCAATCTTATTTTACAGCTGAGTTACCTGGGAGACAGAGAGAATAACTGATATGCCCTCCACCACAGATGGTCTTAGCAGTAGAATTAGGATCAGAACACAAGCCTTTTCATTTTTAGGTCAACGTTATTTGTGCCATGCTGTGCTGATACCCTGATCAGAACAAGGCTCTAAGCAGGTGTTTTTAGCAGCTTTTGATCTGAGTGCACATTGTATTTCAATATGGAAATAATACTTAGATGTATTTTTTTCTTCTCAAGTGACTACAGTTAAGAACCCTTCAGGGGACAAAATTTGTTGATGCTATTCCATCTGGAATTCCTTTGTGAATTAATTGTGACATTTTGTATTTGATGAACTGTAACCCAAATGTCATAAATCCATATTTCATTTAAAAGCATCAGAAGAATAAATAATATATTCACTATCAGCCAAACAAAATGCTTTTAAAAGTTAGTTACTTTCAGTCCTTAAGATTCTATGGTTTTCATTATAAACTTATTTTGTGTTGTTTACTTTACCTAGACTTTTACAAACAAAAGTTTGAATTAATAATTCATAAAATTTATGTCAAATGATTATTGTACTGAGTTATGAATTAACTATGAAAAAAGTAGCACAAAGCCCCTTTTTCACAATTGTAAAAGAGCATGATATCAATCCAGAGACAAACAAACACATAAAGAAATAGACATAGCTCATAAACTATTATAGAATGTGGGTTATCCGTTTTTGATACTGAATTTGACATTACTTAGTTACTAAAATGGTATTTTATAGTATTTTGTGACATTTAATTTAATCCACAAAATGGGCAGATTATACTCTGGATAATTTATCATGTACTTTGGTATAGCTCCTTCACTAATTTTTCTTTGTACCCGGGCAAAGGAGATGCAGCCATTGTCACCACAGAATGACTGACTCTGGATCCTTTCGAAATAATTCTGATTTTATAGAACCTTTGTGAGTGATCAATTTATAGAATATGACTTTGTTTTCCTAATTTAAAACAACTTCGCAGTAGCTAACAAATCCTTTTGAGGGTGGCTGCCACGTCCTCCTAGCATGAAAATGTCTCTTGAAGAGTTCATCTATTATTTTGTTTTCTTATTTTATTTCAAAGTCACTGAATTAATTTCCTTTCACTTAAATACATTGTTATAGTAAATGCATCTATGTATCCAAGCATCCTTGAGGAAAACTATGCCTTTTCAGTGTTATGTTCAGGCAGCCCCATGAGTTTGCATAGTGAACTCACAGCTTTTCCACCCTAATGTAGGGGAGTCCTGCTTAGCTCCACACAACCTGGTGGAGAAGAAAGTCACCAAAAGAATGATATGCAGATAAGGGCGACTATGACAAGTAGGAAAACAAAGATTAATAGAAGGACATCTACATGCGTTTCTATACGTGAATTTGCCCAACGTGAATTTGAATAATTATAAAACTGTCACTTCCTTCTTCGTAGAAGACCTTACCTTCTAAAATATACTACTGCCCACTGTGTAATCACAATTTGAACAATTTTTTTTTGTCAGATAGAATAATACACAAGTATTTAAATAATTTAGGAAATAATGTCATGATATTTAACTACAAAACTCAATTAAAATCATGTTTTACAACTGATAAGTATTTCACTGAATTATATTTTCACTAGGGCAAAATTTTAAAAGCACTTTTTTCTAATCTTAGGTACAAGAATTATAAATAGTCTCGACTTTGTGTTTTGTACCTTGCATTTTGCTAGAAAAGAGATTATGATTTTAAAGTTGATTTGTTGTTGGCAGGCCTACAAATGCTCAGCGTGATTTCCCCATGCAGCTTTGGAGATGAGAATGTCAGTCTATATTGTAACTAATATAAATGTAGACTAAATCTAAGACTGATTCAAATTTTACCCCACAATTTTTTCAATTACGGAAAACATATTATACAACAGTAACACCATTGTCAATTTAAACCGCTTACTTTTCAAGATCAGTCACTGTTTTTCCTATTTAATTGAACCAGAATGTACTATATTCTTATAGCAGCCTGATGTAGCTTCATCAAGTTACTTTCTGTCACAGTTTGTTTCCAGTTCATACCAACTAAAATTTAACTCTCATATTATTATTATTACCACCAAAGATTCAAATGATATAAAACGTGAAGTTTCCGTGGGATTGATTATACTATAATATAGTTTGACCCTTAAAAGTTGCAGTATAATACTTGACATTATTCATTTTAATAAATCGATTTAAATATCAGTTTTTAAGCTATATTAATAGCATGGCTCCTTCTTGTTGTGACGATGACCTCTAGAGAAATCAGTTGAACCTTTAACCTTTGGTGGATTTAAATTTCTGTGGTCAGTATGAAGTGTCACCAGGTTACATCTAGATGCCGTATTTTTGTTAACCTATCCTTTATCAAAGGTGATGTCTGGACTTCAGAACTAGATGACACTGTTAAAACAATAACTTTTTTTGTGTGGTGCAATCATATTGCATTATAGAACTGAATTTCAGTGGTCTCAATTTGCTTTCTTTTAGTTAAAATAGTCTCAGGAAACAGAATTGAAAGAACTTTAGGAAACAGTAGCATCATCACTGCTTTCCTCTTATTTTGTGTTTCTTATGAGCAAGCCTGGTAAAGCTGAAGGCTTTTCTCCCTTCACAGGTTTGGGATGAAAATCTCGCAAAATCTGCAGAGGCTTGGGCGGCTACGTGCATTTGGGACCACGGACCTTCTTACTTACTGAGGTTTTTGGGCCAAAATCTGTCTGTACGAACTGGAAGGTAGGAAGCAGTTTCACCGATACCTTTTTATCCACACAACTTCATTAGCAAGGGGGAGTGCCAGCAATTTCAAGCAGTCTCTGCAACCATTTATTGGGTGCTTACATCAGACAAGGATGCTTGGCCTATGACAGTTTCAGATGTCTTCGAGGATTACTTAACTGGTTAAATGGGCCTAATAAGACCAGTTTTCCCTCTCACCTTGGAACACTTTCCCTTAGCCTGTACTCTTTGCTTATGCCACAGAATCTCTAAAAGGATCAGGCGTGTGCTATATCCTGTCTTCTGTTTCTCCCACTGCAAGAAAACGCCTTGACTGTGGCAGAAACCATTCTTGTGTATA